GGAACCATGTGCCATGGACTGGTGGATCAAAGATAAAGTTTTTTGTTATTCAACATTTTAGAACAGGCAAACAGTTACTATAAGTCAACTTCCATTGGATGTCCCATCAATCTTTACAAAACACAATCAGTGACTATGTATGAAGCTACTTGCAAGATGCACTACATTGAAGTTAGGGATTGGTCCGAACCTGTGCTTCACCGAACATAAAAGAAAAAAAAAAGGTCCTTCTCCTGCCGACCAATCAACTGCAGCCAAGGAATTCCCCACCCATCACTGCAGGTGAGAAAAGGGGAGGGGGTGTAGTGACGTCATTAACCTTATATGGCCAGTGTTATATTTGGTCAATGACAATGAATATGGGTGTGTGTCAGCACAAACATCTCACTCCTTTATGTGCAGCTGCAGGGCAGGAAATGCACTTGGCACTTCCATGTTCGGGGGAGCTCAGTTTTGCACAGGTCCGTGTTCAGTCCAAACTCGAGATCATCCCTAATTAAGATGCAGGCTTTCCAGAAATGGCAGCTGAAATCTGGATTGTGGACTATATACCGTATATGTCAATGTTTCAGCTATCACCCTTTGCCTCTAGAGATGTTCCACAGCCATATCACTTATTACCGTGTTCAACTGAAGGCTCACCAAGATGGTCAGCCAAGCTCATGACTGCAGACAATTTTTCCACATTGCTACTCTACCTTTTCCTGCTCTTGTGGGACATACAAGTATCATGACGGTAGTGATCATTAAGTGCATCCCAGAATGACCACTGACAGCTGAATGATTGCGTTCAGTGGTAAGTGATGGCTACCGCCTAACAGGATCTACAGTGTCACTGATATATACATCATATTTAAGTGTACATTTACCTTTGCAAAGTTAAGTGAATTAAAAATAAAGGGTTGCATGTGCCAGCATATTTCATGATATTCTGGTATAGATCTTGTTTTGTTTATATGAATACTGAAGACACTTAAAAGATACTCTTAAAAATATACAATTTTCTGATTCAAACAAAGCAAAACATGCATGCACTGCATCTTTTCCCTGAAGTTCAGGGTAAATCATGCATGTCACATTGTAACATGACTTTATTTACATAAAGCCATTTTACTGAGTGTGAATGGCATGGTTTATACAATCCATCCCACACAGCGAGTTAATCTTTCTGAAATGAAACTGAGCTCAGAAAGCGAATTCCTCCTGAAAAATTGCACTTCCTGGTATGCGAATGTGCCTAGGCATTCTTGTGCCTACAGTCTTGCTTGTATATCTGCAGTGTGAGATCTAAGCCACTGCCTGCTATTCTCATGATATGGAGCGAGATTTAGTGATGTCACTAATGTGTTTCTCACGGTTCTCCTGCTGATGGCTCTGACATGAGGAAGCAAAGACCTGTTTCGACCAAGATATTGGTGACTGGTCCTTTGCCTTCTGCCTGCCTTTTTCTGGGCATTACATCCAGAGCTCAGTTCCTCTTAAAACATCAGCAAAATTAAACTATCTTCTAAAACTAGTTTCACCCTGCAGTGCTGCAAGAAGGAATTTGAGTCAATTTAGACAAAATAACAGCAAGCAGAGAATTGGTAATGGTAACACAATCTACTGTAGTAAAATGTTCCACTCATGAAGACTCAGAAATATGTAGCTATAACAGAAATAAACACTTTCATTAAATAAGCTAAATATTCACATGACAATGCCCCAATCCTGTATGTGACTGCCCCACCTTGTTGCTGTCCGTGTGTCAGCCAGAAATATCCTAAACAAGTATTTGTCTCCTTTCCCTTTATTTTTCTGTAGACATGACATCCCAATGAAAAATCAATGCTCTTGTGTCACTCATTCCTACTGAAAGAAAATTGTAATGAAAAAGATTGATCTTATTGATCAGCAGCCACATTGGAGATATCTTTGTAATACAGTGTGCAAGCTCAGTAGCCCCCCCTTTCATTTACCTCTTATCTACCAAATTTCACAAGGCACACACACAGCATGAGAGCAAATGTCAATCAGCCTTCAAGGCACAATCCAAAGAGGCACGTCATTGTCTAATACTGGCCAGTGGTGTACAAGACGTTTGGGCTTTATAATTAAATGGATGCAAAAAGAAAAATGTAGAAAAAAAACAATGTGCTGATCCATGCACATACATATGTAATTGGTTGCTGCTATTACGGAAGTACCTTTAAATTATACCCATAATAAACCTTAGAGCTTGTATAGTAAATTAAGTATTACTGCTGCATGCCCATAGTGTTAGATGTCTGTCTTCTGGTATCTGTATTTTGGTAGGTTTGGACAACTATTCGGACATCTGCCACTTAAGAACATTCCTATTGGGTAACCTTCATGCAACCTACCGGAGACATGTATGAGTGTTATGAAATATTCTCGGTTGGGGGCTCTTGGGGCATTCACAGGTGACCAATGCCGAAGCTTTAGGCTTGCTATCAGCCCCCAGACGCCTAAGGGCAATGTATCAGAGGCATGTAGGTGTATTAAAGATAATGAGGTAAATAAAATCCTCTGTTCAAGGATATTTGGGCATTGACATTCAGACAGATCTGCCCAGCACAATGATCTTTCTCCTGACATGTTCCCACAGATCCTCTACACTGGCAGAAAGCAGGTGGCCAATGCCAAAGCTCTAACCATGTCATCATGCCCCAGACTCCTAAGGCAATATATTACAACATTTATGCCAATTTCTTTCCGTTAAATCAAAGCATGTTAAAAATCGTAACAAAAAAAATTCTTCTCTGTAGGTCCACTTTAAAATAGACCTGTCACCAACTTGGCATTTTGATCTGAGCAAATAAAAAGATGCATAGAATACCTTCAGTAAACTGAATTTAAAATGAAAAGCAAATCCAGAGGTGTAGACAACTGAACTAGCATGCAAATCTGATTTTTTTTTTGTTAATAGCAGTTCTATCCCCTCAAACTCCGCAAGAGCCTTCAGCTCGCCAGTAAGACAATTACAGGGGGGCTTCAGGAAGGGACAACTGTTTTTGCAGGAGATTTGCATGTAGTTTTAGCGACTAATCTGGCTAAACTTGGGCCATGGTCATCACAAATTGGGATCTGCCTGAAAGTCAGCCATGACCTAGTTGGCGATCATGGTCCGCCATTCAGGAACCCTTGCATTAGGGTATGGGGAGCAAAAGAAGAAGAAAAAACTGCAAACAGAACATTGCTCTTAACCATTCTCAAATCTTGAGCAAAGACCAGTCATAGATTGCGCTCTCAAATCTTCAGCAAAGACCAGTCATAGCTGAAGATTTGAGAGCACAGTCTATGACTGGTCTTAGCTGAAGACTTGAGCACAGTCTAAGACCGGTCATTGACTGCGCTCTCAAATCTTCAGCTAAGACCAGTCATTGAATATGCTCTCAAATCTTCAGCTAAGACCAGTCATTGGTCTTTGCTGAAGATTTGAGAGCATATTCAATGACTGGTCTTTGCTGAAGATTTGAGAGCATATTCAGTCATTGAATATGCTCTCAAATCTTCAGCAAAGACCAGTCATAGATTGTGCTCTCAAATCTTCAGCTAAGACCAGTCATAGCTGAAGATTTGAGAGCACAGTCTATGACTGGTCTTAGCTGAAGACTGAAAGCACAGTCTAAGACCGGTCATTGACTGCGCCCTCAAATCTTCAGCTAAGACCAGTCATTGAATGTGCTCTCAAATCTTCAGCCAAGACCAGTCATTGAATGTGCTCTCAAATCTTCAGCTAAGACCAGTCATAGACTGCGCTCTCAAATCTTCAGCTATGACCAGTCATAGACTGCGCTCTCAAATCTTCAGCTAAGACCAGTCATAGACTGTGCTCTGGTAAGAGGTTGAGTACAAACATATCTTACACAAAGGGTACGGTTAATGGAGACATCTCATCTGCTGAAAAGAGCATTCTTTTACAAAACACATGCGCTGGTGCCAGGTTGAATCAGAATTACTGCCCCAGGTACATGAAATTCATGCACAGAGTAAAATTGTTTGATTATTTTAGAGACACATGAAAAGAACATGGAGATGAATGTCATTTCTTGAAACAGTATCTAATAGCCTAACAACCATATGGCACACATTTACAATCTTCTTCTCAATCTGTTGGCAACCAGCCATCAATAGGGACAGGCTTTTGTTGAAACCCATTAGAGACAAAATAGAATTGTGTCCATTTACAACAGACATCTCATCTCCACAATATAGAAGACCTAGCATGTAGATGCAAAACGTGTGGATTAATTTAACTCTAAACTTTAAAGGATAAAGGAAACCTGTGCTGAGGAAACATGAAGGCTGCTATTGCTGTCCTCCTGCAAATACTTGTTTCCATGCATCAACTCCTCTGGAGGATCTTCCCAGCACTGGCATCACTTTCACTTTGTTGGTTCAATCTTGATGAACCTCAAAACAGCAGCCTGGATAACCACTTATCACAGTGATCATGACCTATGCCATTGCAGAGGCTTCATAAACAGATAGTGTTAAAAATAAAGATTTGATGCACTCTTAATTGCAAATTTTCTTTTTTATATATGCAATAGACATGTAAATGTTGTTTAGGTCTGAATGGATATTTGTTTTGTTTTTTTACTTTACTGTAATTGCTATCATATAGGGGGGCTTACAAGCCGCACATGTGATAGCAGATTGGTGGTGACAGGTGCTCTTTAAAAGGTGATGCTGGGGTTCACACTTGAAATAAGCTATTGAAGTGCAGATCACACTTCAATATAGCTTATAGCTGGGCTTCAGGTGCCCAGAACTGACAGCTATGGGACCAGAAGTGATGTAATCTGCATTTCTCACACAGTACAGGAAGGGGATCGTGAACAGAGGTTTGCAGATCTCCTCCCCAGCTTACTCCCGACACCAGAGAAGCCTGTTCCAGGCCCATAGAACGGGCAGCGGAGTCCAGGAAACATGGCGGGGGTGGTGGCGTACCATTTACCAGACAGCCGAGTCGCCAGATTGCTTCTATTGTAAAGCCGAAAGTCGGCTGACTTAACAATTGTAAACAGAGTCCTGGCGTCTTTAGCCACCGGGAGTCTGTTTAAATGGGCCCAATGCCAGTAATGTACTATGGACGTCACTGGTCACTAAGGGGTTAAAGTGAACTTGTGGGGGAGACAGAAAAATATGTCACACTTACACCAGTTAGCAGGATCTTCCAGGTGCCTGCTGTTTTGTCAAATCCATTATATAGCACCCCAGGTAACTGGTATAAGTGGCATTATTCCAGGCACACAGGTTCAATAGTTTATGCAGCTTAATTTTCCAGTTTACCAGTCCTTAAGGCTGGGTTCACACCTAGGCGTATCGAATATGCGCATTTGTGGCGCGATTCGCGGTACAAAACGCGCGTTTCCGAGGGCTACTTGGCTGTATCCCAATGGAAACGTGCTACAAAAACGCTCCAAAAGAAGCTCCTGTACTTCTTTGGGCGTAGGACGTTTTGTAGCGCGTTCATACGGCTTAATACGTTCAGGTGTGAACCATACCCATAGGAAATAATGGGACTTCTGTGTTTGAGCGTTTTGCAGAGCGTTCGAACGCGCTACAAAACGCCCAGGTGTGAACCGGGCTTAAAAGGTACTGGCTGCACTGGTTTTCTTTTTTCAGGTTTTTTCTCTTTCCACTTTGTAATTCTGCAAATAACACATTTGCTGACCTTTCATGTCTGAATTTTTTTCTCTACTGATCTATGGGGGTAGCCATGGTTGTCACACAGACTGGACTTCAGGACATGGTCTTTGTTAGTCTCCATTACATGATAGATTGATGGAATTAGTGGTTTACACAAAATAATGTTCTTTCTTTTAAAATCTCAGGATGCAACAAGGACACTGCATTTTTACCAAAATCAACAGGTATTTTCTGCACTTGCTTAAAAAGTTTTCAGCCTGAAAAGTGAAAAAAACTAATGCAGCCCCCATATTAAAGAATGGATAAACTGCAATAAACTACATTTTTTGTTTTGGGTTTAAAATATGCTTTAAATGGTTCTGAATCTTGATGAAAGCTTGTTTAAAACTACAGCCAGCACATAATACCCGTATTTACTTTTTCCCAGACTAGAACTGAAGGGTGCACCAAAGGCTTAAAGAAAGCAGCTTGATGCTTGGTAAATACTTTGTAAATGTTACTGAATCTGATGTTCCTCAGATTAGTGTTTACAAGTCAAGATTAAGACAGTGTTTGAAACCTAAGACATTCACAAAGCAAAAGAAAAATGGTGTATATTGACTGTGTAATCGCATAATCCAATATATGAACTACCTCACTTAATTCACAATCATCAGGCAGTAGTAACTGAAGGGAGGAAACTAGACTAGTCTGCTTTCGGTTCTACAAATATCTGTAAATATGTACTTATTTTAGCACTTTGGCAGAGTCACTCATCATTGCGGCCAGAATGAATTATTCCACAATTTGTTGCAATTAAAAAATAGTCATTAAAAAATGTTTTCAATGATTAATATTATGGCAACAAAATGCTAATGCAGGTTTCCTTATTGCCCACTAAAATCAGCTGCGGGTGTTCCCGTCAACCCATTCCAAGGAGGCAGATGCTGCTGCCGTATGGTCTGTGCAAGGCCAGGAACTGTATTTCCACAGCAGAGGTTGAGTATATAGGCAGGTGCAACAGACCCACATTCAAACATTTTACAGCACATTCAACACGGAATGCATAGGAAGGTA